GCATGATTGGCTCTTACAGTATCAGGACCATAAACACTATTCACATTTTTAGCCGCCTGGCTTGCGTTTTCGCCTTTATCGAAGAAAAACTGTAAAATATGGCGTATTTTCTCTTTGCTGGTGTCCATCTTTGACGCGCGCTCAAATAATACTGAGTTAAGCAATCACAAAACTGTCTGAGAGGTTTTTTTAGTACGAAATCTTATCTTTCTAACGCCATCTGGCGTAATCCGATCGGACTTATACAACGCGAGATACAGATTAGTAAAGCCCTCTATTGGAAAAATAATGAATTACTTTTTATTAGACCTAACATATTGAGCCTATGCATAATTCTGTAGCTAAACTTCGACAAATGACGCAGTTATTTTTCAGCTCGCACATGTGTCAGACATATGGAGTGTCGCGTATGTTGTGAAAGGTGAAATTTGTGCCGACATTTTAAAAAAGTATTCATCGAGTTCTGTGATATCGACGGACACGAATTTTAATTATATTTTGAATATAGGAAGAAAAATGTCCATTTTCGGTGCATTTTGCTTTTTTATTTCCGAAAAGATTGAAACGCGCCGCAAATTCAAAAAAGATTAAAACGCGTCATAAATTCAGGAAAAATATGTGCCGCGTACGTAGAGAATGCGTGAGCGAAAGTGTATCGGAAGTGGTTAATTTCGTGGCGGAGATTTTGATTTCAGAGATTCTCCTTGCTTAGATCGGCCAGTCACCAGATGTCGACCAAATCATGTCTTTAATCGACTTCGACCGACGACTACAGAGATCGGACATAACATTTACCAGTTAACTGTTTCGAGACATTTATGGAAGCTTGGGGTACTAAACATGCTTGATGTTTGGGTGCCGCACAAACTGAGAGAAAAAAAATTTAATGAACAGAATTTCGACTTGCGATTCGTTGCTCCAAACCCACAAAAACGAACCATTTTTGAAGCGGATGATGGCGATGAAAAATAGATTGTTTACAACAATGTCAGTCGAAAAAGATCGTGTTCGCAGCGCGGAGAGGCTGCCTAGATACAAAAGCTGGATTACACCTGAAAAAGGTCATTCTGTGTATCTCGTGGAAATAAAATGCTAATTCAATGCTTTGCATTTGGTGGGATATGCACGGCGTCGTTTATTATGAGCTATTGAGACCGAACGAAAGTATCACGGGGGATCGATATCAATCACAATTAAACCGTCTGAATGAAGCATTGTTGAAAAAAAAACCAGCAGTAGCCAGCAATCGACGTAAAGTCATGCTTTTGCACGACAACGCTTGACCACACGTTGCCAAAGCCGTCAAAAAAACACTGATGCAGCTCGAGTGGGAAGTTCTCCCGCACCCAGCGTATTCACCAGACTTAGCTCCTTCGGACTGTTACTTGTTCCGGTCGATGCAGCACGGCTTGGTGGATACACACTTCAGAAATTACGAAGATGTGCGAAAATGGATCGACGAATGGATTGCATTAAAAGACCAATCGTTCTATCGTCGCAGAATCTACGCGTTGCCAGAAAGATGGGAAAAATGTATAGCTAGCGAGGGAAAATACTTCGATTAATGTATTTTTTGCTTTTGATGTCAAAATAAATGAGTTTTTTAAACAAAAAAACCGCAGGAACTAAGNTAACTAAGTTTATAACACCTAATATTATAAGCACAAGGATATATTATAAGCACAATTTCCAAAGATATTATCGTTATACTTTATTGACAACAGAAGTTCTCGTTCGATCATTGAAGTCAAGCTATGGTGATTTATGAAAAGTGATAATCGCTGCAGAGTTGAAACTATGGAGGGTTTGCAGATTTCTATTGTTACAAATAATTTAATATTATTTTATTTTATTTCATTTATCAATATAATTTGCTGTACATTTTGTAATATTAGTAATTTATTCTTGTAATATTCAAACAATTAAGCACTGGCTAAATAATTACTGGAATATAATTAAAATACTGTATTTAATTACTGTAAATTTCTTTGTAATTTTCGATATTAAATAATTTTTATCATGTTTTGTATTTTGTAAGTTAAAATAATGTTTAATTGATGTTACTGTAGTTTAAAACCTTTAAAAGCACGTTATTTTTAGATTAACTTTAAGAAAAAAATGGTATGCAATTCAACGTGGACATCACATAATCATGACGACTGTCTGCTATCTGGATAAGTGAGACAAAATTATTGGAAAGTGACTACTTTTCGCGGATTTTATTTTTCATCTTAATATTGTTACGCTCGCGCGGGGAAATAAAACGAGACAACGTTAAAAGGAAAACAACTTAAACTATATTTGCTATTTACAAGGAAGCACACGTAGCTTGCAGGCTCAAGCTCTCTCTTTCGTTAAAGACCGTCGCGCACGTCACGACGACTCAACCGCCCCAAAGAGAATCTTTCTAACCCGTTGTTTATCCGACAACGCTAATCATCTGTTGTTTACGATTCGTTGCCAAGAGAATCAGCTGTATGTTCAGGGCGCTAAAAGCGCGGGCATCAAGACACGGGCGTAACAATATTTTTCAATATAACATGTGAAACATTTTATAAAGTATTTAGTTTTTGATAATTTCACCTTAATCCTAACTAGCCATTCATATTTTCGAATCTTTAATTTATTATATGAAACATTTTTAATTTCTTGAGCATTTCTTTGCATCATTTAACACGAGCCTATTTTTGAGCTTGGGTCAAATTGTGTGGGATCTAACGACTGCAAAGTTTCCGTACGTTCAAGTGATCATGCTAAATCGTCTGTATTGCTTTCATGTCAATATCCAAGGATGCCTGAATCTCGTGGTATGCCGGTCTCGTTTAATCATTTCACGCACAGCATCAATATTAGTGGTAACAACAGGTGTGGATGGACGAACTTCACGAAATTCGTCACTAAGAAACGTGCGCCCACGCTGGAATTCAGCAAACCAATTATAAACAGTCCTATTGGATGGTACTTTATTCCCAAAAGCTAAATGAAGTCGATCGATGCATTGTTTCGAAGTTAGACTACATTTGTGATTGTAAAAAATCATTGTCCGAAAATTTTCACGTGGAATTTTTATTTTCTCACAAAATAACTTCTTTTAAAATACTGTGGAAACAAAACTAGTTGGTTGGGTACAAAATGTCAATTGAATTATAGATTAGAAACGTCTATTTACGGATATGATAGTAGCAGAACGTTGAAGCCATTGAAAGTACCAGATTGTAGAAACTTTTCCAGCAGCTTACGTATATGGACCTTACGGTTCGTCACTCCCGTAATATTTTCTGACTCTACATATACATTGTATATTATCAAGATTATATGTTGTGACACGTTTTTCCGGTGCAATTACCGCCGCTCCGAATCGCTATCATTAATTCTCACGAGATTTCTGGGCATAGGGCGCGATCGTTTTGTGACCACAAAATTTCCTATGCTACACTCTAAATTTTCTGCGATTCGGTAGGGAACGGGTCCATCAGCTCTTAAGTTAATTTAAGTCGGAGAAGAGGAAAGTTCGAAAGTCAATCGTGGGAAAAGAATTATCACATTGCAACAGTAATAAGTGATTTTATTAAATCAATCGGAAGTAAAATAGGTTGACAGTTAACAGCGCAAATCGACTTCATGGCGGCAGCAATTTTATTCGATAGCGAGGCGAGCAATTCAGAGTTCGGTATGTGGACTCTACGTCTTCGCGATGTGGACGTGAGGATGACTAGGAACAAGGCTCCGACGGCAATTCGGAGACTTCCCTCCGCAAAAACATAATTATGCAAACGCTAATTATCAAAATGAGGGAAGTTCTGATTGCTCCGCCATGCCAGCCCATCCCACGATAACCCTTCCTCGCGAGTCCTACTCCGATTCACGACAACGATAATGCGATTCTAAACGCTAACGCATTAGCTACGATGAAGATTCCTCCGCGTACAGCTCCGGCAAGTCGACCAGATATCCGATGCTATATACTCTAATCTCACCAAAAAGGATATCTGACGGTCGACCCTGGCAGCCTCCTGGATTTTCATTCTCCACTGCGCCGTACTCTAATATCTACGAAAGTAGGTGCGAATAGGTGACCTTACATTTTGACGCTGCTCTTATGGTACTTCCTGCCGGCTATCTCGCAAACTCGGTAACATTTTTGTCTCTTTCTCTCGCAAGTGCTGTTTCGCTCGCTCGATAGCTCGCTAGTTTCGTGGTTGTTACGGCGTGCCGCCAACGAAGTGAAGTCCGGAACGCGCGAATCGCCGATTATATCGGAACCCATTTTCCTCGGTCATTTTCGGAGCTTTTCGAAGCTTCCTCGCTCTTAGCTCTAGTTCCTGCTTATTGCTCCACTTCTCGCTTGCACCTGCCTCGCGGATCCTTTCGGTAACTTTCTCCAGAGGCTCTTGATGCTTTTGCTAACTCCGGGACCGCGGTATCATCGGTCTCCGCTCTTTCAGCAGTTGTAATAAAAGGCAGGATCGGTATGAGTCTTCCATCGGCAGCTATTTCACTAATATTTATGGAAGGGCTCATCGAGCCTTTTTTCGGCTGGTTGACGTTCCTTCGCTCATCTCTAGTGCTTGTGACTCTTCACGTATCTCTTTCGCGCTGTCCTCCGTCTTTTCGCTTCGACAGTCCGGGAGCTCGGGGTCATAAAACGGAGATGCGGGGTCACTACTAAGTCGGACCGTGCACCGCCCTGTACAATCCCCCAAACGGAAATTAAATTGCGGTAACCTACTCTTGGCTTATCGAGCCCTAAACTATCGAACTTAACATTATCGGCGCCACTTGTGACAGGCGCCCACAGCTGACACGTCATAATATATATGCGTAAGATAGAAAATTGTAGAAAATCTTAATAATAAGTAAACAACCAAGACACATTTGATGTCTGGTGTATCAGTATGCGATTTAATCGAGATTAACCATTATGAATTATAGAGATTAACCATTATTCGGATTTTAACGAGGACGACACATTTATTCTACAAAAAAAATATTTGTTTCAGGAGCAGGTCATAGTTATGCAAATATTAAACAGAGGTACGATGGATTTTACAACAATTTGGCTCACCCTGATTGGGGATCGGTAGGCAAGTATTTAACGTTATGTATAGTAATTAGAATACCTATATTGTTCTTTCGAATTTCTGGGGAATTATGTAACAATTCTAGAATTTTACTTATTAAAAAAGTTATTAATTTTATTGTTAAAGTTATTCGAAATTTTATCTTAATTTTATGTTTACCTTATTATGTGGAGTAGTAGTGCGATTACGATGTTAAGATCATAGAAGATGCAACCGTTTATTCTATCGGTTTTTAACCGATAGCATTTCTTTCAATCAAACTAAAGGAAAAGTTAATTCTGTTTCGTTTTATTTTTGAAATTCAATATGTAATCGCGGAAATTTGTAAGCATTATTCTGATTTCTAATTACGCAAGTTAAACAAAAATTAATTATTTTTATATAATTGAGCGGTCATAACTGGGGGAAAATCTGATCGTTGTCGTTAAATTACAAAATAACACAAGATATATTATAGGATATTCGATAAGATAATTACGAATCAATATATTTAAAAGTATTATAAAAGTAAAGAAAGGGTGATTATATATATAAATACTAATATTTTATATCTTTTTATATGAGTAGACAGCAGACTAATACGAAAAGTTCCGGCAGCATACTCCGATGGTGTATATGCAATGGCTGGTCAAGATAGACCATCTCCTCGGAAGCTCAGTGATTTGTTTATGCAAGGTGATGATGGTCTACCATCTGTGAAAAATCGGACTGCGTTATTTGCTTTTTTCGGTAATAATCTTTAATTATTTAATGAAATATGCAATAGCATTGTGGGCACAGCAATATTACACGAGTTTTATTTTTTCTAAGAATATTGGTGGCTCTTCAATTTTCTTCGGTAAATATCTACATTATTTGTGCCATTTTTATGTTTTTATATACATTGCTCATATATTGACTTTTCTACACATATTGTCAAAATTATGACCCTAAGTACTCTTAAAAAGATTTTAGCTCGCATTCATTGTTCATTAAAAAGTTATTAACAAAAGTAATTTGAAGAATATAACAATTATCGTCAATACTGAAGAATATAATTTGTTGATATATATGTGGAAACATTATAAGTATGTACGGGAGAGGTGCGAAATATTTTGTATCTCAGCCCTTTTAAAAACCGAAATGTATATCTCTTAACAACGTTACAGTCAACTCAAATATCGGAATGATATGAGTTAAGTTATGGTTACAGATTTTTCTTTGAGATGGGGAGTATAAACAAAAAGTTTAATAGTTATATTGAAAAAAATGGGTTGAATTAATATAAGAAATATAGATTTATATTAAACGGAAAATATGGTGAAATATGAACGATCTATAATTCTGATTAAAGTAACTTGACAAATCTGATTGCTTATTACTTAAAAGTATCCAAAGGTCAAGTACACACGCTTCGTCATCGTTTGTTACAAAAAAATATAAACAGAAAAGTCACAGAAAAGTTTATTAAACGAATTATTATTAAAATAACATTTATTAAGAATAATTTTACTCGCGAGTTCTCTACTACAACATTTTTTATATAAATTTTCTTAATTACAGAAAAAATATGGAAAAAGAACTTAGACAATATTATACTAAAAAAATTGTTACTAAAAGAAACTTTTAAAAATATATTATTAAAATATATTAAAATACAAGAATATGCATTGAAAAATGGGAGTTTCCATTTAAGAAATTAAAGGTGACCTTCACGTGATCTTCAAACGACTATCCAAGGTCAAACCAATGACACCATCTTATGTGCCCCTCGAAGTCACAAAACTTTTGTCTGAAACATTTTTCTTTAAAATGTCGCGTTTACGAAAAAATCGGGTGAGACGGGTGGTCTAGGACACTCTGTATTAGCTCAGACAGCACAATATTTAAAATTGCGATATAAGTCGTCTTTATGACGTCGATAAGATCTATCTTTTGTCCCAATTTTAAATATTATATTGTCTGGATAAATTTCTATAATTCTAAAAAAAATATACTTCTAAAATTTTAAATAGAAAGGTATATAATATATAAAACCCTACTTCTTTTTTGGATCTATACCGCTAATGTCATATAATCTTCTTACAGAATTGGTGTTATTCGCGTCACCTTTATTTTATGATATCCTTTTAGGACAGCTGGTCACGTCGGAGATAATCATGGCCAGCGAAAATGGTTGCCCAATAGAATTTCATCGGATCGATGTGGACAAATGCGATCCGGTTTTCGACAAGGAGTGCCAAGGTAATAAGTACATTCCTTTCCTGCGAGCGGATTATGATCGTCAAACCGGGCGCAGTCCTAACAGCCCACGGGAGCAGGTAATTCTCAGCGGTGCTTTGGTGTTTGAATAAATGTTCGCCGTTTTTTTGTGAAAAGAACTGTGTTTCATGAGATACAGAAAGAATAATTTATTCAAAGTAGTACCTATCGTTAGCTATAACCCTTTTCCACTTTTCTGTAATAAGTGGATTCCGCGATTGAAGAACTCCGAGTCTTTTGGAGCGATCTAATGTTCAAGCCAATTTTTGATATCTTTATTCGAAGTAAAGTGCTGCTAAGCAAGACCATGCTGCATGGACTGAAATAAATGATAATCAGAATCAGTTAGGTCTGGGGAATACAACGGGTGTGATAACACATCCCAGTTGAGTGCTTCCAAAGTATTTTTAACTGTTTTCGCGACATGTGGTCGAGCATTGTCGTATAACAAAATCACTTTGTCATATCTTTAGGTATATTCTGAACGTTTGTCTTTCAATGCTCGGTTTAAATTCATTAATTATTCTCGGTAACGTTCACTATTGATGGTTTGACACGGTTGCAGCAGCTCATAATACACCACGCCTTTTTGATCTCATGAAATATGTAACACAACCTTCCGTCAATGAATATTCCGTTTCGGCGTTGATGATGATGGCTGGCCGGGTCCTCCATGTTTTTGGTCGTTTCAATTTTTCATAGTGAATCCATTCTTCATCCCCAATAACCATTCAATGGAAAAATGACTTCCTGTTCTGTCTTTGAAGCTACAATTCTCACATGGTTAAACGCCTTTCAAGGTATCTTTCTTTCAATCCATGTGGTAACCAGTTTCCGAGTTTTGAATCATTCCCATTGCTTTTAAACACTTGTTAACAATTAATCGATTAATATTTAATGTCTCTGACAGTTGATTTGACATGAATCTTCATCAACTAATGCTTCCAGTTGTTCATTTTCAAATTTTTTCGGTGCACCTTTGCGTTCTTTATCTTTCATATTGAAATCATCATTTTTAAAGCGTTAAAACCATTTTTTACAACTTATTTCGGGTAGAGCATTCTCTTCGTACGCCTCCATACACCTCCACAAGCAAACGATAACTTTCAGCTGCACTTTTCTTAACAATAAAATAATGCAGTCAAACTTTCGGCAAATGCTGTTTGTTTAGCACAAAAGTTGACATTTTCAATGCGGTGACAAAAATGTTGCTTATACGTCCATCAAATGTCATATGCTAAATATGAAAACTTGTTTATAATATTCTCACATAACATGTGTTGCTATAGGCAATTTTATGCATATAATACTCGTGACACATCTCTTAGAAAACGGCGGAAACTTATTTAAGCGCTTTCCGAGATCACACAACTTTTATAATTGAATCGCATTTTTATTTGAAAAGTTAATGTACGATTAAACTTGTAATGTACGATTACGCCACAGCTTTTAGAGGAAGTCGTGAGAAATAGAAAGCTTTGTATACGTGAGATTGCAGATAAATAAAGTGACGAGTTGGATCGACGGTAGTTTCGTCTATTCAAGCAGTGAAGCATGGACGAATACGATGCGTACTTTCAAGAACGGTAGTCTTCTTATGGAACAAACGAGACAATTTCCCGTGAGGAACACCATGCGCGCGCCTCTCTTCAATCACGCAGTCCCGCATGTTATGCGAATGCTTAGCCCGGAACGACTATATCGTGAGTGAATAATATATTTGAATATGCAAATTTGATTTCGAAGTGCACGGGCTGTTGTAGTACTTTGTTTAATATTTAATAATTTCGGTCATCATAATATAGAATATTATTCTATTATATTATGTATTATTGTATCAAATATTAGTCATGCGTGATTGTGTTAATATTTTATACTTTTTACTACAACTTTTCCAGTAATTAATTTTCTGACTTTTGCGAAAAATTTAACAATTAATTGCATCGCATAGTGCTTGGCGATCCAAGAACGAATCAACATCCACCGTTGTTGGCTTTTGGAATTTTATTTTATCGGTACCACAACGTCGTAGCTGCTCGTGTACAAAAGGAGCATCCAAACATGACCGATGAAGAAATTTTTCAGAAAGCTCGTCGAATAGTCATTGGGACGATACAGGTGAATTGAAACAATGCATAATATTCCAGGTTTTATTCTAAATGCATGGACAGTAGTCAATAAAAGTACCAAATTATTTACATCTACCTAGTACAAAGAGAATACCCGTGCCCGTATGTGTGTGTGCGCGTGCGTATGTGTGTGTGTGTGTGTGTGTGTGTGTGTGTGTGTGTGTGTGTGTGAGAGAGAGAGAGAGAGAGAGAGAAAGAGCGAGAGAGAAGGAGGGAAGGAAGGGTTGAAATTACAAACAAATAAATTTTACATAACATTATGGATAAAAATGTAATGCTGCAATTAGTAAGATCAATTAGCTTTTGAATAGAATCAGAAATTGTTTGTCTTAAATAATTGCAGTAAGATATGTGTATAATTTTCGTTTCGCATGCGTACATTGATACTTCTAACAATTCTTTATATAAAGAATTGGTCGATTTTACAGAACATAATTCTTTACGAATATCTTCCGGCATTGCTTAACGAGGACCTTCCATCTTATACTGGCTATAAACCAGATTTGCACCCAGGTATCAGTCATATATTCCAAAGTGCTGCTTTTCGTTTCGGCCATACTCTCATACCGCCAGGCATTTATCGGCGAAATGAAAATTGCGAATATAGAAACACCAATACGGGTCAACTAGCTATTAGGTTATGCTCTACATGGTGGGACTCAAACGTAAGTGTATTTATCATATAGCGAAACAGTATTATTCGTTTAAATTTAGAATTATTTTAATTCTCAAAAACTACAACAATAATATTACAATAGTAATATTATACAATTCAAGTATAATTAGAAGAAATTTAATGTTGAATTTTAACAAGTTCAGAAGAGTTATAAAGAATACTGGATTCTCTCAAAATTATGAACCTGAAGTGAAATTAACTCTAAATTCTCTAGAGAATAATACATAATAATACGCATATATAATTCGCAGGAGATTTTAGCTAATAGCACGATTGAAGAATTGATAATGGGTATGGCGTCGCAATTAGCAGAGAAAGAGGATAATCTTCTCGGTACTGACATTCGTAACAATCTATTTGGTCCTATGGAATTTTCGCGTAGAGATCTTGGTGCCCTGAATATCATGCGAGGTCGAGATAATGGTCTGCCGGACTATAATACTGCGAGAGTGCATTTCAAATTAACACAACGGAAAACGTGGAATGAAATCAACCCGGAATTGTTCAATAAGAACCCATCGCTGTTGCGAACGCTTATTGAAATTTATTCCAATAATCTGAACAATGTCGATATTTACATTGGTGGTATGCTCGAATCTAAGGATGGACCCGGCGAACTCTTCACCACTGTTATAAAAGAGCAATTTCTCCGTTTGCGGGATTCCGACAGATTTTGGTTCGAGAATGAAGAAAATGGGTAAGTTGGCTTCTTTCCATTTCTACTAACATAGCGTTACGTGAAAATTGATTGAACAAGTTTTATTTAAAATAAATTATTTGCATGTGTAATATATATATGAACAAACTTTATTTCAAATAAATTATATACATGTGTAATATATATAGGATGTCCCGTAAATCAAGGTCAATCGTTCAGAAGGTGATGGCGAATCTAAAAGCAAGGAAAAAGTTGATATGAACATATGCCCGGAAACGCGTTGTTTTCAAGTTATCATAATTTTTATGTTTTAACTTGAAATAGCTGTTTCGAATTATTTTTCCAAATTAAAAGAAAGGATATGAGTTAGGATATAGATTTTATAACATAATTAAAATCAAATACATGGTATGTCCGGAAAGTAATGTCATTGAGTCGATTAAAAAAAATTTATTGAACTTTTCGTTACAACACATCAAAATTCTTCAAAATAGGCTCCTCCTGCATTGACACATAGGCTCCAGCGAGTTTTTCAGGCATCGAATGCGCTACGGTAGGCCTCCTCCGGAATGTCTTTTAAAGCCGCGGTGCAAGCTGCTTGGATCCCCTTAATGGTCTCGAAATGCTTTTCTTTCATGGGTCCTTTCAGACATGGAAACAGAAAAAAGTCGGGGGGAACGACGTCCGGACTGTACGGAGGCTGAGAAATCGTTGGCACTCCTGCTTTGGCCAGATAGTTGGTGACGAGGAAGGAGCTGTGGGCCGGCGCGTTGTCGTGATGCAACTTCCAGTCCTTTGCCATGCCCGGCCGAACGCGTTGAACCCTAATAACTGTGACAAGGGACATTCAATCGTCGGTCTGTGTTCAAAAGTTCTTTCACTCGCGTCACATTGTCGTCCGTGGTGCTCGTCGATGGCCGTCCGGCGCGGGCTTCGTCGTTGACCTGTTCCCGGCCTTCCAAAAAACCTTGTGCCACCGGAATACTTGTCGATCCGACAGGGCATCTTCTTTAAAAGCTGTTTTGATCATTGGAAGAGTTTCCGCCGCGGTCTTGCCAAGTTTAACGCAAAATTTGATCGCCATCCTTTGTTCTAACGAGCGCTGCATTTTTACTTGCACGAGGTCATAAAACGACTTCCACAGAAACGCATGTCCTTACTATGCGACTGGCGGGAGAAAAATGAGTGACTTAACATTCGTTAGCTGACTTCCCTTTCTACCATTCCCAACCGATTCGAGCGCGCTCTGACGGTCAGTCGCGTAAAAAAAATCACTGACATTACTTTCCGGAAAAACCATGTAAAAGTTATGGACTGCTTTAGAACTACCCAGGATATACCACATGGAGGTACAGTCCTTAACATCCCTTGATAGAGACCCCACAGTTCGTCACTCCTGTGATATTTAGTGATTCCAAACCATCTCTGTCTGCATTCCTGCAGAAGGAGGACATTTTGAACACCTCTTATAATTTTCATATTATCACGCACAGACATACACACATACGCGCGCGCGCGCGGCAGAGAGGGATTGAAATCACTAAATACAACAGGAATAACGAACTGTGATATCCTGATTTCTGCCAAGGTATGCTAAGGATTGCACTTTCACGTTGTGCATTTTAGGTAGTGCAAAAGCAGACCGTAATTTTTATTTGATTTTACAGGATCCGCCACCAAAATTTACAGATAAATTTAAATTTGAATTTCCCACCTCATTTGACTTCGACGGTAGGTCGTTGTTGACGTTTAGGCAAGTCAGATGTTTGTAGTAAGCATAACCTTAAAATGTCCAAGCAGATAAGATCGAGTGCAGAGTATAACCGAAGAGCGATAATAATTGAAAGTCTTCAAGCTGGGCGTCCGCAAACCGAAATTATTCGGTTATTCGAATATTCGAGATCGACCATATATGATGCTGTGGCTAAATATAATAAATAGCTAGGATGAAGTTACCGGTTTCTGTTCACTTCCTAGACGTTGTCTCCGGTGAGGGTCACGTCACGTCGCCACATTTTTTTCAAAAGAAAGAAACCGTCACAAAGCAAGTTTATTTACGCGTTTTGACGAGGGTAGCAATTCCGTGGATAGGTACTGTGGCCGCCGGGAGACCGTACGTCTTCCAGCAGAACGGCGTACCGATGCATACAAGTCACTTAGTTCAAAATAGACTGTCGGATAATGTGGACATGTTTTGATCTGAGGAATTCTGGCCTCCGAACAGTCCAGATTTGGATCTGTTGTACTACTACGTGTGGATAGTCATTGAACGAGTGACCAATAAGTTGAGACATCCCAACGTGACATCTCTCCAGGCCGCTCTCGAGGCGGCATTCGACAATATGGACAAAGACGCGTTGTAAAGAGCGTGTCAGTGTTTCAGGATGAGGACCGAAGCAGTCATCGAAGCAAAAGGGGGTTGTATAGAGTAATTTTATTCTAATAGGATACCACTTGTTACGTACAAAAAGATTTTTTGTAATTTTTACAGTTTGGCAAATAGAATTTTGTTTAAACAAATTGTTTATTTTGTCCGGATTTTGGTGGCGGATCCTGTAGTTATGTTATATATCTCATATACTAACCAGTCCTTTTTTTAATTTGGATGAAAAATTCGAAACAGTAATTTCTAGTTACAAGATAAAAATGGTGATAACTCCAAAACAACGCATTTTTGGACGTAAATTCGCATCAAGATTTCCCTTGTTTTTGGATCTCCCATCATCTGATGAATGATTAATCTCGACTTACGGGACACCCTGTATATACATGGTGGACCATTTTAATACATCCAGTCGAATATTTCGAAAATCAAGCCCG